CTACGGTCTACAATGGATCAACAGCTTTAAATTATCTTAATGTTGTTCCTTAAGTCAACCTCTGATAACTGAACGACTGGACAGAGTAACTGACCCCAGCGCTCAGTTGTATCAAGGAGGCAAGAGAGACTAATCACCCCTGATGAATCTGAAATCTTGAGGGAGGAATTTCATTACATCTGGCAACAAACATTCAACTTGGACTCAAAGGTGAGCTGATAGAATTTAGTGGATTCAAAGATCAAAAATCACTGTCACCTCACAAAGTATGTTTTTGGCCGTAACTCTAATATTCAGACACTATTATGACAGTCTTAACACAAGATGTCTAAAAGGATAAATGATGAAGTGATGACATCTTTATATCCAAAAGTCAAAGGTCGACTTCACTGTGCTCATTAAAATGTTCTGCCAAAAACACTGAGCCTCTAAGCCTAATTTATTATGTGTGTTGTGTGTTGTGTTTGTGTGTGTGTGTGTGTGTGTGTGTTGTGTTTGCGGTGTGTGTAAACCGCATCTGCTCTCACCTGGAAGCAGACCTGCCCTGCAGCCTGACTTACACCTGCTTACATCACACGCAGGGCAGAGAGTTCCCACGCTTCACACAGACTGTCAAACCCACACACATCACACACCCACCCATCAGACCGAGAGCTCTGTCTCACTATGTACTACACCCATATACACTGTGTTCTACTACTACTAATGCTAATACAATAATAATAATGATAATAAACTTTATTTGTGTAGTAATCTTTCATGTGCGAAATGCAGCTTCAAGTACTTTACAACAAAGAATGACTTCTAATAACTATAATATAGAAATTAATAAATGTATAAATAAATTAATTAAAACAATTCAACTTCAAGAATGTATTGCTAATCCATTTATTTTTTGCTGGAAGAAGCGTGGTCATGGAGGTTATCGCTGCAGCTCATTTGGTTCAGCCGAGATCTACAGTTGTTTGTCATCAGTTGTACTATGGAAACATACATTGTGCTCTCTGATTGATGTCTTTTGAGCAACCTCACGCGCGGACGTCTATATCATGATCATCGTAACACCGCTGCACTGAGGACTAAGAGTAAAGAGCTCATCAGAGTTCAGTCTGAGGCGGCTGATTATTTTAGTAAGCCCCGTGTCAGTGTGTGGTTTGTCTAAAGCCTAACTGAAATTCCTCCAGGATTTTGTTAGCAGTATACGCAGTGCTATACTATTGACTGATTGATTGATTGAATGATTTCTTATCTCCTGAATATTTCACCCCTAACACCATGCAAATACAATGAAATACGCTGCAGAGCCAACTTTTCCCTCCAGATCTGGAGGCAGATTTGTGAGAACGAGAAGGGAAGGGGGGAGGCAGCATGGTCAGGTTTCTCACCATCACGGTTGGAGGCAGGGTGGTGGGGGTGGGGGATAATTTAACACGGCACACTTCCTTTGTCCTGGGGATGAAGGGGGAGGAAGCGTGAGGAGTGTGGGAAAGCTGTGGAGAGGCAGACTCCACACAGGGGGGACACCCTTCAGACCTGTTGCCCTGCAGGCGTGCAGCACTGTGGCCCTGTGGCCCTGCAGACCAGCAGATCCTGCAGTCATGTGACCTGCAGACCTCCAGACCTGCAGACCTGCAGACCTGCGGGCTTATGGTCCTGCAGACCGGCAGACCTCCAGACCTGCAGACCTACGGGCTTGTGGTCCTGCAGACCAGCAGACCTGCAGCAACTCAGCTCACCAACTGTTTGATGAAACCAGAGCTGACAGGAGCCCACCACTCAAGAGCAGCCCGCGGCTTAGGCACACAAAGCCCTCAGCAGCACGCTCAGACACACGCACACATAACACACACGCTCAGACACACCACTGCAACCACAACGCTCGACAACACTACCAGACACGACGCACTCAGACACACACATCAGAGCTGGACCGTGGACAGACGCCGTCCTGCTCACGTGTGACAGCACAAAATCCGATTTACAGAGACACTGAACACATGAACAACACATGTTGTGGTCTTTGTTTTCAAAAACACTGTGAATCTACAATTACATGTTGTTTATCTGGATCCAAATCAGCTGTTACCAGGCAACACAAACCAACGGTCTCATGTGATTATGTCAATCAAACATAAAGAAAAGAACTTTACATACATGACCACTATAGCTACATGTGCACACAGAGACTCAGTCTCTGCAGGTTTTAGATGTGCTAATGCTGAAGACTAACAGAACATATTTGCAATAATATCTGAATCATGCCACACTGACGTCACATATAAACCAAACAAACTCACCTTTTTTGCTTATTTTCAACAGTTCTAACAGGAGCGTCTTAATAAAACTTCAAAAGTCAAGACGGCATTGAACAAGTACCCCCACCCGGGTCCGTCACTTGTTTGTGTCCCTCGAAACACTTCTGTTGTGTTGTCAGTATTTGTAGCACAAGTTGTCAAATTGATGAGATGTTTTTTTGAATTGTGCATTGAGCTCTCAGGGCCACCGTAGTTATTACCTCTTTTACTTAAGTGGCAGATGCTGCATTTCTTCAACATTAGTAAAAGTCAGTTGGTACATGAGGCACCATGGATCATCTGACATCATCAGAGGAAAACAGCAGGAAAGATTTGGCTTTTCCATGAAAATACACTGACTGGAGGAATCCTACAGGTGTTACAGATATTTGTCATCAACTTCAGCCATGTAGGGTTTTATGGAAGAGGTCGGGTTAAAGAAGCACATGAGGAAGTGAAATTCATTAGATAAAATGCATCAATTAAGAAATTTAAAAAGTTTATTATAAATATTCTTATCTTATGTCTTACAATTATGTCCGTCATCAAATGTGTAAATATTTAGAAATGATGAAGAGAATTGTGTATAGATCATGTATATGATGAACATCTGGAATTAAAATGCAAAAAAGGAAAAATAAGTCAAAGATTTAAAGAGAATAAAAGTGAAATTTATTCAAATATCAGTTTGGTACAAACTGTTTTAAATATCTCATATATCTAAGAATAAATCATAGTTTTCCTTTATAAAAGGTCACAGTCAGACTCACTTGACATGAGAAGTCCCCTCCAGCAATGATGCTTTACAGTCATTAAAGAGTCGACTTCCACAGGAGTCACATTACAAACAAGGCACAGTCAGAGTTTTACATTGTAAAACACGAGAAGCTCCACAAGAGAAACTACAGACACAAAGCTTTAAAAAACTGTTTCCAGTCCAGTATGGAGTGTACTGGTCTCCTCCTGATGGAGAACATCCACCCTCCGAGCTCCAGAGCAGCTTCTACCAGGGCTCCAACACGGCTCTGTGAGGGCCGGGCGCTGCTTCCCTGCAGCCTGGATGTGGCTGTGGGGAGGAGAGGGCCGGCGTGGGGCAGGCGTCCTGCCGGCTCTGTGGGCAGCGTGGAGGTGCTGGAGGTGTGGCAGCGTCGCCTCCTTCAGGGAGTTTGGCCAGGAAGTGCAGCGTCTCCTTCCAGCAGTGGGAGTATCCGTCGCTGTGAGCCGTGTGAGCGCTGGGGCTCTGAGGCTGCAGCTGCTGCTTGAGGAACACCAACCGTCATCTCCAGCACGTCGGCCTTCTCCAGCTTGGCGTTGGGATCCTGTTTGGTGGACTCCTTCTCCAGTCAGGCCGTCAACCTTGAGCTGCTCAATGAGCTGTTGATGCGATCTCTGCGCATCTTCTCCACAACTGGTTTCCTCAGCTG